GTTGTAGTGAACCAAGATCGTGTCACTGCACTCCAGCCTGGGCGACACAGCAAGACTCCGTATCAAAATAAACTAAAATAAAATAAAATAACAGAAACAGACCAACTCTAAAGAAGTATTTCTATCTTTGCTTGGAAGGTTGCTTAGACTTCAGTAGCTTCGACGTTTCAAGAGGTCTGGGTTTGTAATTCCGAACATGGAGAATAGGAATATTTTAGAATTCAGCAAACATGCAATGGTATTTTGGATAATGGCAGCCAAGTCTCTCACTGTCAAAGAAGTGAGTTACAGATTTGGAAAGACAGGCTACAGTGAACCTTATCATGTTGGGTTTTAAGTGGAGGTATCTGGAGGATAGATAGAGATAGACAGATAGATAGGTAGATAGATAGATAGATACATAGATACATAGATAGATAGTAATGTTAGATAGATAGAATTATATAGATGATGATAGAAATAGTTAGACAAACAGATAGACACAGATAGGTAGGGATTGATGGGTAGATGCATGAATCAATGGACAGGTGGGTGTATAGATGGAAGGCAAGTGGATGGGTGGGTGGATGGGTGACTGGATGCATGAATAAATGGATGAACAGATACATAGATGAATGGGTGGATGGGTGGATGGATGCATGAATAGAGGTATACGTAGATGTGTACATGGATGGGTGGATGGATGGATGGATGAGTGGATGAAAGTGTGGCTGAGTGCATGGGTGGATGGATGGTTTGATGGATGGGTAGATGGATGTATTGGTGGATGGATGGATGGATGGATAAGTGGATGAAAGGGTGGGTGGATGAGTGAGTGGATTGATAGATAAATGGATGAACAGATAGGTGAGTGGGTGGATGGATGGATGGATGGATGGATGGATGGGTGGGTGGATAAATGGATAAAAGTGTAGGTGAATGCATGGGTAGATGGATGGTTTGATGGGTGGGTGGATGGATGGATGGATGGATGGATGGATGGATGGATGACGGGTGGATGGTGGAAGGGAGGATGGATGGATGGATGGATAATAGATGGGTGGATGGTAGATGGATGGTGGATGGATGAATGGATGGATGGGTGGATGGATGGATGATGGGTAGATGGTGGATGGAGGGGTGGATGGATGGATGAAAGGATGGGTGGATGGAGGCTGGGTGGGTTGATGGGTGGATGGTGGAAGGGAGGATAGATGGAGGGATGGATGGATGGATGGATGAATGGATGGATGGATAATAGATGGGTGGATGGTGGATGGATGGTGGATGGATGGGTGGATGGATGGGTGGATGGATGGCTGGGTGGGTTGATGGGTGGGTGAATGTATGAGTGGATGGATAGTTTGATGGATGGGTGGATGGATATATTGGTGGATGGATGATGAATGGGAAAAGATAGATGAGATAAATTGATGGATAAATTAAAATGAATATATCTACTGATCAATCAATCATAGATAAACACACACACGCAAACATACAGTTCCTAGTTCTGGCCACCAAAAGGGCACACAAGCGGTGGATATTCCAGGAGCAATAAATACAGTTATTATTCATGTATTTTCTTATAAATACATTTCGTCCCAGCTACTTGGGAGGCTGAGGCAGGAGAATTGCTTGAACCCAGGAGGTGGAGGTTGCAGTGAGCCGAGATCGTGCCACTGCCGTCCAGCCTGGGCGACAAGAGCGAGACTCCGTATCAAAGAAAAAAAAGAAAAGAAAAGAAAAAAGAAACTTTCACACTCATTGTTTAAGTTTTACAAAACAAACAGTGCCTGGTTGCAAGGGAAACCACAAACCAAAATAGGACAAGAAGAGGGCACTTAAATAAAGGATATTTCACGCAGGCAGGCCGGTGGTGAAAGCTTACCTGTTGCTACTTGCCCCAAAGCCATCCAGCCTCCCAGCAGAAAGACGGCAGCTCCCCACAGCAGAACCAACCGTCCCATGCCTGAAACAGGAGTGGAGAGTGAGGTCCTCAGGAACCTGCCACCAGCAGATCGCTCATGACTCATAAGCAGAGGTCACCCTCGATTTCAAAAAGGCAGAAAGGTACGGAGGCTGAACTGCCTGTCATCCCAGCAACTTTGGGGCTGAGGCGGGCGGATACCTGAGGTCCAAGAAGTCTGAGACCAGCCTGACCAACATGCCAAAACCCCCGTCTCTACTACTTGAAAATACAAAAAATAGGCTGGCCGTTGGGGCAGGTGCCCGTAATCCCCTAGCTACCCGGAGCTGAGCAGGAGAATTCACTGAACCCAGGAGGTGAGTTGCAGTGAGCCGAGAAACACACACCACTGCACTCCAGCCTGGCCGATCACGAGCGAACCTCTGTCTCGGAAAGAAGAAAGGGAAAAGAAGGGTAAGTAGGGGAGGGGAGGGGTAGGGGGGAGGAGAAAGGAGGTGGAGGGGCAGGAGGAGAGGAAGGGGTAGGTGGGAGGAGAAGGAGGAAGAGTGGAGGGAGGGAGGGCAAGGAGGGGGAAATGGAGGGAGAGTGGAGAAGGGAAGAAGATAGGTGGGGAGGGGAGGGAACGGCAAAAGGAGGTAGAGGGGAGGCGAGGGGAAGGGGTGGGAGA